ATTTCAGAGGTGCTTACCGCTTTCGCCGTCAGAGCTGTGATATTTGGGGTTCTCTGAAACGTTGGTATCCTTGTACGAGTCTACACTGCGTCACGACCCAGTTTAACAATATACTAGTTTATTCCCACCGTGATGCTGGAGGCAGTGAGAACCTCTGAAACGTTGGTCAATTTATACCAGCCTGCGCGTCTCGGCAACCCAGAAGACTGCCACCGAAGTATTAAATTAATTTTCCTTGCCCCAGTGTTTATCAAAGTGTGATTCGCTAGCGCAGTCAGACTTGTTGGCAGAGGGACACTGACAACTACTACGTTCTGTGTTTGAGGCAAAGTTTATTTCAATTTGTGTCTACAAGAACAAACCATCACCTTTATTTTTAAACTTGTGGTTGATCCGTCACCTGAAAATAACCGTTTCATTTTTCATTATTTGCAATCATCTAACTAAATCCATGATAGCTTAGTCATTAAAGTGGCTGGTTACGGGACGGGAGACCGGGAATCGATAGCTGACAGGAGCACCACAGTGCTCTGACCGGCGATGGAGCCCACAGAGCCACCTAGCCAGTGGATACCGGGGCTGTTTCCTCTGGTGTAGTGGCCAGGATGAGAAGCTGAACAGCCCTTCTCATCCCAGTCTTGTGGGGAGAGTATGAAAGCTTGGAAATTTATCTCCACTCCTCCATACGTATTCATGGTGTGCTGCGTCTGCATGAGAAACTTTGGAGTGAAATGCGTGAAACAGTGATTTATGTGTGGTACACACTTTTGTGTTGGGGGGGGGGGATTGGATGTTTGCTGTTTGGTTTGAGCCCCGAGATCTGAATTTGTATGCAATTTACTTTTTCTGGAAGTACATTAAAATATGAAACCCATATTTTATCGACGATCGGACTTAATTCTCTCCCATCCTTGAAAGGAACGCTGCTTATGCTCAGGACGCTAATTAAGAGACCTGTACAATGGATACTAAATAATAATTTATGCAAACTTCATTTCCTGTTTTCCTGATAAACAGTTTTCGTTCGGTTCATTAAAGATAATATAATTTTGGTATTTGGTATACATTAGTATTAATTTTCCTCTGTTTTTTTGTGCGTGGATATGAAACATGGTCGCTCACAATAAAGGAATAGCGCAGATTGAGTGTTTGAGTACAGTGTGTTAGGAGAATATTTGAACAGAAAAGAGATGAATTGACAAGAGGATGTAAAACATTTCGTAGTTAGCAAGACGTCAAGGTCGATCGATGAGATGGGTGGAGCATGCAGCACACATGTGGGAGATGATACATGCGTACAGAATTTTGGCCTATTAAACCTGAACGGAAGAAACCACTCGGAAAACCAGGGTGCAGATGGGAGAAGAATTATAAATGGATCTTAGGGAAATAGGGTTTGGGATTGTAGATTAAATTCATGTGGTTCCGGATAGGGAGCCGTAGCAGGAAATGTACCTCCGGGTTTCATAAAAGACGGGGAATTTCTTGATTAGTTGAGCTCCCCAGGAAATTCTCTGCTACGAGTAGTTCGTCGGTACATCCATTTTCTTCAGACACAGTATCTTCTTCCGATAAAGAAAGGTTTCCGTTACAGTTTTACAGTTCTGGCAGACGGGCTGTAAAGTTTACGTCGCGTGATGAGTGCAGACTGCAGTAAGCAACACAAACACACATTTGCTTTCAGCTGAATGAAATTTCTGACTGGCGTCTTTTATTATTTTCTCGTCGTCCCAACACGCGGGAGCGATAATCCTTGTCGCTGAATTAAATTTCTGGCTGCAAAGTGCAGTCAGCACAGCCAAAATATTATAGGCCTAACGCATGTGAAGAAACCTAAACACAAAAAATGTGGTTTCTGGTATAAACCTCCAGTCTCCGAGTTTACCTATCGTTCAGTGGCGCTGAATGTCACGGCCAAATGTTTAGCAGCCGTGTTTCGTCATCGTGGGATCCCGTGTTCGGTTCTCAGCCCGGAGACCGGAAATCCTGAAATTTTATGTGGTTTTCTTCAGTTGTACTGGAAACATCGGGGCATTACCTTATATTACGCCATTTCCATATCTTTTCATTGTCCATTAGCCTT